TGAAGGTTGCCAACTCAGAAATTCTGGGACAGCTCCATACTGAAAAAGAGGCTGACCGCAAAAAGAGTCAACACTTCTTTGGACGTCGTAAAAAGAACAAGGAAAGGCAGAAAGAGGAGGAGTCCACCACCACATCTACTTCCACACCTTCATCCCAGCGTGTTAGCAAATGTTATAGTTAAACATTGTCTGCTAACGGGGATGGGGATGTGGGGGGTAGGGGAGCACCATTTGTAGAAATCTTTCTGGCCAGAGAGTTCCTATTTTAGGGAAATAATGATTAACATTATGTTTTCAAAGAAATACACACTCGACTAAAGAAAATAGATGATGCTCCAGAAATTATTTGTGTAGATTTAATTAAAATTTGATCTCGGGTGGTGCGTTTGAAAACATTGACTTAATTAAAAATGTTCTAAAAAAATGTTGATTTTTGGTTTTTCTCTTAGCAAATAGCAGGTTTGTTTTAAAGACACCTATTGCCATTGTAGGGATGATAGAAAGCGACCTGAGGTTGTCCACTTTAAATAGAAATGATGTTTATTGTCTAAATTCCACCAATAAAACATTTAAAACACAGTTCCAAATGTGATCAATTTAATTTAGTATATTTCCAAGGGAGTCTAAATATACACAGGAAAATCTCTGCAAACCCAGTACTACTTTATGGCAAGAAAGGAAATCCAGCCATTTTCATTTAAGTGCATTCAAATTACATCGTCATTACTACATGAAATGCACAAGTTTGAATTGAGAAAACTTGGCCTTAGAACTATTTCTTTTGACCTTTTGGAAAAAGAGACTATGACTTTGTGTTTTGCATCTACAATGGTGAAAACATCAGGCAACATCAGAAAAACAGAAATTAAATTTAAAGTGTTTCAATCCAGAAATAAATGTATGCAAAAAATGCCTTTTTTGACTCTGCAATTGGTGACAGAAGATTGTTAAATGTTACAGTTGTCCTTTATTGAAATAACCCTTATAATTGGTGGCATTTTGCGAAAGTAAACATCATTGGAAAGGTGTTGGATACAAATGTTATGAACAGTGGGAAAAAAAACCCAACAACAAACAGTTTAAATTCTCCTGCGTGTCAGTCAGAGGGATCAGAAGGATCAGAAGAGGAAACTGATCTTTCTTGTTCCTTGTAAGATTTATGGCAAATGGCATCTACTGATGCTTCCGTGCCGTTTTGTTCATTTTTATTTATCTCCAGCCTCGGTTTGTTTCTCACCTTATCTTTCTTAAGAATTGAACAATCATCTTTCTTCAGCTAGCTGGGATTTGCTGTTCAAAAGTTCACCACACAGAAACTCAGAAGAAACACTGTCACATTTATTTTAATTGCTGAAAACCTTTTTACATAATGAGGTTGCATCATAATAATGTATGTACCCGAACATTTACATTCTGTACATTTCATACTGTGGTTGCCATGGTGATGCTACATTAAAGAACACTTTCAAACACACATGAAAGTCTACTCAGGCCACATCATCTTTAAGGCCTACCTTTGCAGAAGACACTCAATGCACAAGCTCATGAGTCATAGAAAAGTAGGATTGCCAATGACTATGAAAGAAACAACTGCAGATTAAAATTAATCAACAGCTGAGGAAAAGGTCACAAGAACAAGTAGCAAGAGGCAGTGATGCACCGGTACTAAAACAGAACCATCATTTAACCCCCAAAACATCTTTATTTAAAGCAAAACATTGACAAACTCAAAACCTTTTTCAAGTAAGGAAAAAGCAAAGATCAGGAGTATCCATGGACGTGACAGACACAAATAAAGTTGCCGGATCCAAACCATGGACTGAGATTATGGATGACATGGAAAATGACATGGACCGTGTAACCACAAACCTTGGCAATGATTGTAAGGATGAGGACATCCCCAAAAAGGAGCAATGTGGGAGACCTCAGGTCAGTAATCGAAGGCAAAGGGAGGAGGTGAATCGTCTTAAAGGAGCCCCACGGCCCCAAAAAACTACAAAAGAAAAGGTCAACCAGAGGCCTGAGAGAGACCGCGACATTGAGCATCTCCAGAGTAAAATAACAAGACTCTCCAATCTCCTGGAGATGGAAACAAGAAAAAAGAAATCTGTCCTGACTGACCTGTGCAAGGAGAGGGAGCTGAACAGGAAGTTGGGAGACGATCTGCAGAAATACAAAGAAAACACCAAAGTGTCAGTTAGGGGCAACATTCAGGAAGAAAATTACAGTAATCCAATGCAAACATCTGTGAACCCTGAAAAAGGCACCAACATGAATGACTGTCTTTCAAAGGAAAAAGAGTCCATCTTGATGGAGCTGCAGAAAGAGAGAACCATGAGATGGAAATTAGAAGAGGAGTTGCAGAAATGTAAAGATGCTATACTGCAAACATCTGAAGCCTCTCAGTCCAAAAATCCGCAAAACGACAAGATTGAAACCAACAACAAGCTTGAGCAGGAAATGGGTGAAGACCTTAAGGCTCAAATTGTCAAGTTATTGACTAGACTGGAGACAGAAACCAAAAAGAGCAATTCTCTGGTGAAAGAAAAAGAGACTATAACCACAGAGTTGCAGAAATGCAAAAATTCCCTTCTGCAGAAATCTGAGACGTTAGAGTCAAGCACTATGATGGAGAACCTCTGCCAGAAACTTAAGAACTTAGAGAAAGAAAAGTTTGAGGTGAACAACAAGCTGAAGATCGAGCAGGAGGTGAACCAATCGTTCCAGAGAGAAGCTGAAAGTCTATTTGCCAGACTGCAGACAGAGGAGAAGAAGAATGGTGATCTAGAAAGGTGGATGAAGAGTGAATCAACAAAGCTGCAAAAGGAGCGTCGCCAGAGGCTTGAGCTTGATGTTCAGTTGGACAAACAGGCAGTCGCTCACAAACGAGAGCTGGACGCTTTGAAAGAGTCCAGTGCTGAGATTGAGACAATACGTCAGGAGGTGGAGGGTCTGAAAGCAACAATACTGAAGCTCTCCACCAAGCTGGAGCTGGAAGAGGAGCTGAGTGAAAGCCTACGCATCCTTAACGAGAGGCTTTTTTCCAGCCTGGAAACTGAGACCAAGAAGCTGGAGAAGGAGCAGGGCTGGAGACTTAAGCTGAATGACAACCTGCAGAAAGAGAAAGACGCTCACAATCAGGAGTTGGAGGCTCTCGGCGAGGAGCTGGAAAAGCTCAAGGTGGACAACACAGAGATCCTGGGCCTGCTACAGGCGGAGAAAGAAGCCGGGCACAAAAAGAGCCACCATTTCTTTGGACGCCGCAAAAAAAACAAGGAAACGCAGGTAGAGGAGTCTACAACAACATCTACGTCAACATCTCAGCGCATCAGTAACTGCTGAACAGAAGGTGATGAAGCTTCGATGATGGAAAAACTGTTTTTAAAACACCATTGTTGATCAGTTTTTGATGTGAACTAATCAGCTCACGTACTACTGGGGTGTTACAGCTTTGGTATTCCCTTTATTAAAATGTGTCAAACTACCATTCTGTCATAAATAAGCTCTCATCTTGGCCAACTGTTGGCTGACTGCAATTTTAGCTGTTGTTTTGGTTTACCAATTTTCAGGTTTTCCTAAATTCTATTGTTTATTTTTACTGTTTATTTTTACTTTTTGTTCAATTTGCTAATATGAGACGTATCTTTATATAAGTTTTAGCACTTTTTGCCCAAATAATAGCTACTCTCTTTTTAAACTTAGCTGTCTTGATTTGTTTTTCTTGTTGTTTTTTTTTGCTCAGGATTAAACAAGTTTAGAGCTAATTTTAGGCAGCTGTCATAGTTTTATACTATACTTTTTATGTAATATTTTATTTAAATAAATAGATATCTGGTGATTTTCTGGCTTGGCTTCTCATGTATCCAGGTTAATTAAACCAAAGTGTGGGTTTTATTCTAATATTTTGACTATTTAAAAAAAACATTTGCCAACATAACCATGTCTGGGCTACTTTATTAATTTGGCAAAATTTAAGCTTGGCTGTGCCTGTGTAAAAATACATTATTTTTTTGCTGTATTTGTCAATCAATGTTTAGATTTCTCTAGGTTAATGTTTAGCTCATAATGTTGTAATTCTAATCGACTATTGTTTTGGGTTTGTTTTTTTCATTTTTTGCTTTTTCATCAAAGTACATTTTTGGTGCAATTGTTTAACCGTCCTATGCTCGTTCAAGCGATTTTTTTTAAATCAACATTTGGCTATTTGTTACAATTATAAGTCAACTTTAACTCTTAACTAAAAACTGTTAACTAAACACTTTGCAATAAGATATGACTGTTGTGTAAGCTGCAGAAGCCAAGTTGAGCATTTTACACTTGAGAGAATATAAAGACACTTTGCCACAAGTCTCTGGATTTGATCTACACTGTAGACTTGTGATTATTAATTGAAAAAAACACCAGGCAAGTCCAAAAATTGTTTTATCATAAATTCAGCTTCTGTGACCATTAGTTAAAGTGCAGTGAAAAAGGAGAGAAAAAAATTGTATGATGAAATGTGTATTTAAATCATGAGTAAAGTTAGGAATCAGGCAAGAAGTGATGGAAACAAAACGTGTGAAGAAGACAGTCATGGAATATAACAGATGCCATCGGCTGAAACAAATAGACCTGGGACTTAATGATTGAATTGACCTTCAAAATAATCCTTTGGATAAAAAGTGCTTGGTTTGAGATGTTTCCATTTTTGTGGAATCTGCTGGTAGTTTATGTTAAGATTAAATGATGAATAAACACTTAAACCCTATAATGCCCTTTTTGAATGTCAGTAGTGTCCATGCTAACTCATCATTCCTTCTAAAAACAATAATTTGTGTGAACCCAGACTTAGTGTACAAAATTGGAACACTGGTGATTTACACAGATGACGATGAGTATGAAACAGTATTGTTAATGATGAAAACATTAGACGGGATGTACACTTGGCATTCACACTACTTTAAATTGAACAGCAGTAGTTATATTGGTAGCAGTAAATTAGTCTAGATGCTGAGTCAGAATTATTAGGGGTTCTTTTTATCCTTGTTTATATATTTTATTCTCCAGTTTGTTTTATTGAAGCACTAATGGGGCATCAACTAAAGGTGCGGAATGAGGAGCACTATCACATACACAGTCAATGTAAATGGTGCCACAGCACGTGGTTTAGGCAGCCGTGTGCAGCGGTGTGATTGGAGCTTCGGCTGTGAAGTGGATGAAGCAAAAGAGAATCTGAGGCACTGTGAATGCAGTTGGAAAAATGTAACTATTCAGGTGGCATCAGTGACAGTCTTACCCTGACGTCACCTCCCTGAAGTAAGCAGAGAAATTTGTGAACAATAATGCACAAGCATAGCAGCACGGTGTGTGGGCACAAACCTTGCTGCTACGTTTTATCGGGACTCGAATAAAAACAGAAGAGGCATGGGCTAAAGTTAGCCATGAGGTGGGACTTTGGGAATTTGAGGGACTGACGGGGGGCTGTTTTACCACCGTGTGGTATAGCTGGAACCTGGTTGAAAAATGAGCAGATAAATTAACTCTTTTGCACGTCATTTTCCACCTGGAGCATCCAGGGGCACGACAAGTGAATAAGTCCATATATAGTATAGTATATATAGTCCATATGACCAAGCAGCGCAATAAAGGTGTTTCCAGATTGTTTTACTCCTCAACTGGACGTGAATTCTCAAACCATCTGTATTCCCTGGCCAAAATGTGAAGATTGTTGTCCTCATGTTGTTCATAGACAAAACTCAAATGTTCTCTACTAATGAATCCTTGCCAAACCTCAAGACTGAACAACAATATCACCTTATCAGCCACAGAAATCTTCAGATGACACTTGTTTTTGTGTTGATCTGAACATGTTTCAGGAGAAGTACAGAAAGTGGTTGTTTTTTTAAGCAGGAACTCAGTATCATTGAGTAAAAACAACCAGGCTTTCATATCAGGCAGGTTCCTGACCTGTGTCTCTGTCTCTGTGATACAATCAGTCTGGTTTTATTGTCAACTGCTGTAGAAAACACACTCCTACAACCTTCCTCAACCTTTTGACCTTAGTTCCAGCGAAAACAACCAGTTTCTAAAATGATATGATCTAAGGCTCGACAAACACTGAGATTTGTAACAAACTGTTTGTTAACTTTTAGTTTACTTAACTTGTAGGTTCATTTCTTACATGTTTAGCTATTTTCAGCTAGCTTTGCAATTTAAGCCAGTTCGTGATCACAGAACTATCATACACTAGTAGTTTTATAATTTTTTTTACTAGACTTTGGTTTACATGTTTTTAACATTTCCATCCAACATTTAACTCTAGCTATTTTTCTGTGTTCCTATCTAATACAAATTATTATTGTCTGTTTCAATGTCTGATAGACATGAACCTTTCTGGTGTTTAGATTGAGCTCATGTAGCAACTTTATATTTGGCTACAACTTTTTTGGGGGGCCAGGGGGTACTTCTTAGCCATTGTATTGAAGTCATCTTTTTTGTGATATTTTATGGTAATTGTGGGTGTCTTTACTCCCTTCTCTTCACAATTGTTTTTTTATTTTTATTTTAGTATTTATTTAAGAAAACAGAGCTATATTTTTATTGAACTTTTTTGGACTAACTTTTAGCTTTATATTGGTTACAATTTTAATAATTTCTGCTGCAGGTTATATGCAGTTACGCATATGCACAATGCAGGTGCATTGTTTCCCAAAGACTGGGTCCCGACCCTCAGGTGGGTTGCAAGGGTTTTTTTTTTTGGGTCATCGCGCATCATGTTTCCCAGGAGTTTACGAATAATGTCTATTGACTTGGGTTGCAAAGGTTTGTGACTTTTAAAATATGGGTCCCCAGCTGTATGCACGACATGTTAACCTTCAGAACCTTCAAAAATTCAGATGTTTGTTGAGTTAAGGTGAGGTTTACATGTTTATATTTCTGACTGTGCTCTGTTAACAGTTTGTTTTCTGGGCTGATTGTAGTGTGAGCAAATTTTGACAGGATTTGTCTAACGCCTAATTCCATTTCCATATGTGTGTTGGAGCGGTCCGAATTCAGGTGGCAGAAAAATCCTAGTGTGGAGCACAGCTAAAGTAAACATGCAGCAGATTTATAAAGAGTGTTCAATCACAGATTTATCCTCATCATGGATAATTAAGAAGAAACTCTTCAGACTTGGAAAGAAAAGCAAAGTATTAGCCTCCCTCCCTAAATCTCCTCTCTGTTTTTGCTAAAATCACCTTGAATCTACTTTCTTTATCTTTCTCTGGTAAACATTTAGCTGTTGTGGTACTTTTGGCTACCTTTTAGCTAATATATTTTGACTGTTGGCTACCATTTAGTGGCTGTGTTGGCTTTTATAGACAAAGTGTACGCTTAATTTTTTTCTTCTCATGTTTTTTCATTTCAGGTTGAGAGTCCTCGCTGACATCGTGGGCCGGGAAAAGTGAACTCTAGGTGAGTCTTTTTTGTTTTTATTCTAATTACTCTAAATGTTAAAGCTGTTCTGCTCTTTTTGTTCCTTTTTGCTCTTACTGAAGCTAGTGTTGAGCTTCACGTTTGCCTGTTCTGATGAATGTCATTAACCTATAAAAGCACATTCTTCTATTACTTTATAGTGTAGTTACACACATGCAGTGTGAGAGTTCTCACACACAGGCACACACACACACACACACGTGTGTGTCTGTGTTTAAAGAGCCGTTCCTGCTTTTATTCATCTCTCAGTGATCATGTCCATGTGCTTGTTAAACAGTAAAAACTGTAAAACCAGAGCTGTTGATAGAATGAACACACACAAACACACACACACATAGTCCCAGTCTGTATGTTTGTTCCAAGACTTTCATGTTTAGCTTCTTTCCAATCATTAAAACCCCACGGGTAATGACATAAAAGTTTTTAGTGTGAGGTTAAAGAAAGGTCACCGCTGGGATTCTTTTACACTCCTCTGGACTGGTACTGGTCTGACAGTGGCCAATCTTCAAGATTGTCTTATGGATCATACTGGTCCATTTATGGTCAAGTGAGAATGCTGTCATTTTTCTGATTTAATTAAGGTGATGGTTTACACTGCTCTGTCATTGAGGTCGAGGCTTCACAGACAGTGACGTTTTTTTGTTTTACAGTGATGTAAGATTTTATGTATCATTTGTTTTTATACTTGTATTTAAAACCTTCACATAAATTTCCCCTAAAATGTTATTTGAATGTTACTGCTGTGTCTTCAGATACTTCTTTAGATACACACATCATGTAAAGTCCTATGTTCATGGCTGATGTATTTCTTCTACAGAGGGGCAGAATATTTGTTTCACAGTATTTTTACAGGGCTCTATGTGAAGTAAAGTGCATCTCTGAAATGTACATGAAACGTCCAGGTGGCATTATTGGTAACTGAATATAGTTGAAGTTGCAGTATTTATTTTGCAGACACTCCAACTTGCAGTATGGGTAGATGCAGATACTCCAGGTTGCAGTGTTGCAAAAATGGTACCTGGGGATACTCAGGTTTGCAGGATTTGTACTTGCAGATATGCCAGTTTTCAATTGGTATGTGCAGATACTCCAATTTGCAGTATTGGTATGTGCAGGTCCAGGTTCAGGTACTGACAACAAAAATGTCAAACCTACGACAACGTTGTTGTTGTCAAAGGTCCATCTGGAACATGGGTGTCAAACTCATTTTCACCGGGGGCCACATCAGCAATACAGTTCCCGTTGTAAATGGAAGACTGTATAGATCAGGGGTTCCCAACCCGTGGTTCGTGGACCAGTACCAGTCCATAGGTCATTTGGTACTGATACAAACAGAATAGAGTCTAGTAGATGTTTTGTTTTGAAAATTTAATTATATTAATAAGATTAATAGATAATATATTTTCCGCAATTGATTAATATTATATGATATGATTTGATTTATTTTTAAACTTTTAATTACGTAGGTTAAGAAACTCTGCTGCATGGACTTTACTAAATGCTTTTTGAACTCCCACAGGCCACACAAAATGGCTTGGCGGGCCGCTTTTGGCCCCCGGGCCTTGAGTTTGACACGTATGGTCTGGAACATCAGGATCCTCCTGGGGTGGAGGTGAGTGACAGTTTGAGGTTGTTCTGACCTCCAACACCAACCTTCTATCTAACACCACTCTAAGTCAAGCTTAATAACATCATCTTCTACGTGGACCACTGAGTGGACCCAGTGAGGGTCACCTCCTGACTTGTTGGTGGACAAACTGTTCAGCTCCATATTTTGGTGAAGACAGGGGTTTAGCATTAAGAGGTTTCCTGTTGTTGGCTCTGGTTGAAGACGACAGACACCATCTCCACCGTCCTTTAGCTGAACTGAGCTGGAAAGTCCAGAGCTACTAGTTCTGCCTAAACCAGAGCAGTTTCAGATTTCTAAGATTTTTCACACCGTGATCTGGTTTCTACCTTCAGAGGGAGAAGATATCTCAGTGTGTAGATCTGTGGATCCTCCAGCTTCAGAGCAGATTAGTGGTCTTTCAGAGATGTTCCACAGAACGTAAAGGTTGGGAGCCCTGTACAAAAACACCTTTGTCTCTGTAGGAACTACAGTGAATGTACAAGCCAAAAGAAACACATCACCATCAGCCTCTGTGGAACATCTGTGGAACGTCTGAGCTCCATAGATATAAAGGTTGGAGCAAGAGAAAGAAGAGGATAGAGACAGAAGGTAACCGCAGCAGCACCAGAAGCAGCAGTGCCAAGGCCAAGTCCCAGAGTGAAATAAATTAGATCACAAGAGTGCAAATGTAGTTCCAGAGGA